ACTTAGTTTACAGGAATCTCGACAACATTTTGTTAACTATTAATACAAAGTATTAAAAAATAAGTTTGAAGATGACGTTGAAAAAAACACCCCAAAATAAATTCTTTCAAATGGAAACCCCCCTTTTTGCTAATTTTATCTTAATCAGTATTAAAAATAAGGGTAAGTTTGCGTAAAGTTGTCTATTCCAAAAGTGTTTAATTTTCGAAATTTTGCCAATTCCATTCAAGTATATCCTTTCCTGTGTTTCAGTGTTGCTTTTGCTTGAAAATGCATGCCAAGGCTTAAAGCAGCAACAACGCTACACATAAAAACTGATGATGGTGGAAAAATACACCGAAACGTATTTTGATTGATAAATAGAGACAATAAATGACTGAAACCCAGGAATGAATTTGATTTGGAATTCCATTCAAGGTAATATTTACGCTACATTACTACACATTCAATCGAAACCGGTTTTCATGCGCATCGAAACCGGTTTCGAAGACTCCGATGGTCGGGTCGGTTGAAATTCCTCGGGCAATCCCGATTCTTATTGGCCGGAGTCGAATTCCACGCATTCCGACGAAGGTCTCGGATAGAGGCGTTTCCCATTCTTCGCATCTCCCCGTCTGCCATCGGAGGAACGAAAATTCCGCGAATTCTTCGGGATTTTCTTCACTTTTAGAAGGGTTTTGGTCAGAGAACTAGATTTGAGGTGTCATAGACTTAATGTCAAAATGCCAAAATGTTGCCACATACGTGGTGTTTTTCCCGCCCATTTCCAAATTTATTTAATAAATTCGCTCATTTTTGTTGGCATTCACGCATGCACAAAGAGTCACTGCATATACAGGGTGTCGCAATAAAGATGGTAAGCGGCTGTATCTTAGAAAGTATGTGTTATAGAGTGATCGGAAAAAAAAATTGATGACAAACTTGAGGAAAAGAATTTGCTGGAAATTATTTTGAAATTTCTCAGATGACCACTAGATGGCGTAATTGCAAACGATATTTTAAAAAGTCGATTTAAAACAGAAATTGTCCCTATAAGTGAAAAATCTAGTAAATTTAGCCAAAATATCACAAAAAACCGTACTACTTTCCTTTTGAACTTTTTTCCTAACTTGTCAAATAAAGGGTGGGGAGTCAAACCGCTTAATTCAAAGAAACCAAACAAGATAAATTGACAATATTTTAAAAACTACACACCTTTCGAATTGACATCACACAAACTTATCTTATTTCTAATACTGCAACACGACAAATTTCGAACAGAACAAAAGAATAAAAATCATCCTTTAATGAAAACTATTTAATTAATGCAACGATTTAAATAACAATTTAATAGAGAGAGAGAGAGCGAAAAAAAGGTTTCCCTTGAGCGGGTATTTCGGGCGGTCGTGTGCAAAGCCCGAAGGGTGAGTTCGTTTGAGCGCCACTAGCTTTCGCAACAAATCTAGAACACTCAGCGATGGAATGCTGCCGAAATACCTACTCAATTCTTTTACCGTGATAGCACATAAACTGACTTGAATGATGATACAAAAAAAAAGGAAAATGGTGAGATTAATAAAGAACAAGAAAACGTGGTTTGACGACCACAAACTACCGTCTGAGCTAACCGTTTGATCTGTAACCTACGTTAACTACTTAATTAAATGAAAATTTCCAGAAATTACAAATTAATAATAGACAACCAATAGCGATACTCGCCCCGAACACCAGCAAATCTCCGGAGTCGCCGCCACGTGCTGCCCTTGCCTACGTGCTAGGTCCAGATCTCATCCAGACCGTCCCGGTGTCCGATGTCCGCAAACGGATGTTCTAGCAGATCTACCACCCAGCAGAATATGGCGGATTCGGAGGTCAATTGGACGGTGATCGACTATGTTCGGCAATCTCTGCTACTTGATTCCGCAAATTCTGGTACTTGATTGCCCTTCGCTCGGTGACCCTGCGGGGTCCACCCCTCGTCCCTTCCCATCAATAACGGTGGGTTACGTTATTGTCGATACCAGACAAACCCACGTTGCCAGACAAACCCATGATAAAGACTGCTGATGTTTGGGAGAGAGATACAAATATCCAAGCATCAAAATTCAAATAATCCCCAAAATATTACTAACCTAATCTGACAAACGTGCTTACTAAATTCAAGTTACAAATTAAAATCGGTTGACAACAATAGCTTATTTCAATTATAACTTATTACTACATACATTTGAACAACGGGTTAGCAGACAGGTGAACCATTGGCTAAATTCCATTTTTAACCGTTACAAATCTAAAAAGATAAAAGTATCAAAAATAGTGATTTCCATTCGAAAACATTGATTTTGGGCGGTTTTTTCACCATCATTTTTAAACTTATTTTTTTAACACTGTATTAATATGCAGTGATCAAAATGTTGTCGAAGTTCCATTAAAGTAAGTCCTTTTCAACAAGAAATACGACTCAATTTAAGTAGCCCGTATTTACATATAGAAAAAAGGAATAATTTTTCATAAAACTTCAAATGTTTAAAATACGGTTAGACTTAGGTATAGGATATTATACAAGAAATATATTGATATTTTCGAGTAGAACACTAATAATATATAGGATGTTCCATTTAAAATAAGCAAGTTGATATATACTTCCGGTTTAACTGAAAGTGTGGCCATCTTGAAAAGATTACTAGAATAAATACTGATATACGTACAGATTTTATCAATGCAATACTTAATGTGCCCTAATTCTTCGGAAAATTTCTGGTTAATTTGCTCTAGTGATTCTCACTAATTGCTGATCACTTATTTCAGTGTTTTCTGCAATGTCTAATAAAATATCCCCCAGTTTCTTCTTCTTCATTCTTGAGTTTAGGTGAATCGCCTGTTTATTGTTCACTTGCGTGAGGCAGTCGCTCCGTCGTTTCCTGGGGCGCCCAACGTCTCTTCATCCCAATGGAGACTTGTCGCGAGTGATTCTCACAAGTCTGCGGTGGTCCATGCTGCTTATGTGCTCATTGCATTCCTACTTCTTGTTTGCTACCCATTCATTAAAGTTCTTGACATTACATGCTGTTCTGATATCATCGCTTCTCTCTCTATCCAGCAGGGTCTTTCCGGTTATTCTACGGAGTATTTTCATCTCAGCTGTCTCAAGGAATCTTTTGGTTTTCGCTATTTTTGGCCTGGTTTCTGCGGTATATGTCATCACCGGCCCACGACGGTTTTGTAGATCCTCGATTTAGTGTCAATTCCCATACTCTTATCGCACCATATGGCATTCAGACAGCCAGCTATTCTAATTGCTTTTGTTATTTGATCTCTCACCTCTGCCTCAATATCCCCAAAGTCGGAAAGTTCCGCGCCAAGGTAGTTAAATTTCATTTTCTGCTCGATTATTCTACCGTCAAGTTTCAGTATGCATCTTAGAGCGGTTTTTGATGCTGTTAAGCACTTTGTTTTGGTCGCTGATATTTCCATATTTAGAGACTTGGTTGTCAGGTTAAATAAGTGTAATTACCATGTGAGTCATCTTCACTTTCTGTAATGAGCGCCGCATCGTCAGCATAACACACTATTTTGATTTCTGCATCCCTTTAGCCTTTTTAGCAACTTTAGCTTTTGTATCCCTTTAGCGCTCGAATAGTTCGAACAATTTCTTCCACTATTAAATTGGAAACGGCAGGACTCAGGGAGTCTCCCTGACGAATACCGCTATCCGTTGGTATTGGTTCTTTGAGGTCTCCTTCTATTTGTGATCATATTTTATTGTTTGTATATATGTTCTCTATGGTTTTAATAGGATGGTGTGGGATTTGCCTGTTTTAAAGGAGATGCAGGACGTCTTTTAGCTGGACACGGTCAAATGCTCTAGTTATATCAACAAAACATATAAACGCTGGCTTATTTATATGTTTGGTTGATCCGCCTATTTGTTGAGCGTAATTATTTCCCTAGATCTTTGTTGACCTTAAAAATATTGCAGACCCGTTAAATCAAATTTTTAAAATAGTAATTCCATAAATCTTCGATTTAGAACGTCCCACGATTATTTTTGCCCAAACCATCTGAGACAGGGATTTCTGAGTCCAGAGTTATCCGTAGAAAGCTCACATAGCAATACTTGCATATGTGCGATAAACTTGAATAGCCACTCGACACCAGTGTACCTGTTTACTTTAAAATACTCTGGAATTTTCGATTTTGGTTCTAAAAATATCATTAATTCGAAGGAAAAAAAATGTCAGTTGACCTGTCATTTTTGTATGAAAATGCAGTAATTACAAGAGTTAGCACTTAACCTGAGTTTGATTCTTCCAGATAAAAATCTAAGTATCTAAAATCAATGTAAAAATTAATCTTGATAGAACCCTATCCGACCTAGCATTACACACTAATTCGCCAAATTAATCTAGGCAAGAGACTCGAAATTACTGTGCATATGGCGTTGTATGAATCGTGAAGAATGCGGATGCACCGTAGTTCCCACGTTGCCAGACGTTTTAAAACTTCGGTCAAATGTCGCAGACTCGATATACAATTAATTAAGTATGTTTTCAGATGCGACATCGAAGAATTGCATTGAATTTCAAGAAGGAATACAATTAGAGCGACGCAAAAGTTTTTTAATTGCCAAGACGCATTACTTAAAATAAGCAGAATGCCTTGTTTGCGTGTTTCATGAAAAGCACAATTTAGCATATTGCTATGATAATGAACGTACAGCCTTTGCAACCAGTAGAATTTTTTTTAATGAAAATGTGCCTTTTGCTATATTTAAAAGTACACAAATAATACGGTGCATCTGCCCTTTAATAGCGTTTAAAACGTAGCCCAAAAAGAGCAACACGTGAGTGTAGATTTTGCCATTAAAACCGTTCTGAAGCAAAACGCTAATATTTACGTCTTTTAATGATAACAACCAGAAATAGCCCGGTTTAGACTCCTGGAAAAACTTTAGCAAATTCAAAACATTGCACGAAAATGTTAGGTTATACTATCACATTTCATGTTTTATCTTATCTCACCTGGTTCTTCACGTTGATGATCAGCTGTCCCTGCCCCATACCGATCAGAACCAGGCACAGAACCGAACAGAACTTAAATTTCACGTGAATGCCCCGATTAAAACGCTTTTCTGAGCTCATTCTAGTCAATGTTTTGGAATATTTCGTAAATGTTTGACAGTTCGTAAACAAACGCGAGCCGGCAACCTACTACGACCAATTCGGGCAACACAATGCGGCGCCTGATGGGCAACACACAACACACTTGCCGCGTAAGGTATAAAGTGAGGATGATGCGCATGGTCCGTGTTGCCAGATTGCTCTACCCAGACTGGTTATGAGGAATAATACGTGGGAACTTTTCAAATTGAGCATAAGGCTGGTTTCTTAAATATGTTTTTTACATGGAGGTGTTCTCGATTTTGTAGGAAATTATTATTGAAATTATCTATTTTTGTGATCTTTATTATTTTATGTAATGTAGTTTTGGGCGAGCTAATCATCAACTTTAATATGAAAAATTCACATTCACTTTCAACTTTCACCTCACCTTATAAAATGTTAGTGCAAGAGACTGTGCAAGGATTGTTTACTCCAAAATGTTGCACTTTAGTGGGTTTAGAAGAGTTATTCTGGCAGATTCTTCATAGTTTTTTTATTTCATATAAACGGTAAATGATAAATAGCAGAACTATTTTCAGCAATGATTCCGGTAGAATTTGAACACTCTTATGAAACGAATAGAACGTACAGAACTTAAACGGCATACATTTGTGACATATGGATAATGCATGGTTTGTCAGGTCTCAGATCCTATTTGAGCTATCAAACGACTTTGGTGTGGTAATTAAATGAAAACAATTATCTTTTTGAAGTCATTTGAAGATAAAGATCAACTTATCCAGGGAAAGATAACACGTCGGCAATACGGCCTAGAGTCGCTTTTCCGCCGACCATGTGGCCGCTATCGATTCGTGAGCTTTCGTTACAAGTCGCAAACTAATTTGAACAGCGGGAAGCGACATAAATTATATAATTATCTTTCCCGCAATTCACGCAAGTTGGATATTTTCAGGAATGTTTCCAGAAGTCCATTTATCAATCGTCAATTCCTCTTCTAGTACTCGTTTTACGCCCATATTCGCAGAAACTTTTTTTCAACTTAGTTAGAGTTAATGAATTATCGTTCGAATTTAGGATAAAAAGGAGGAAAAAAGAAGAAATGCAAAATTGATCATTTATTAATTAATAGGTTCAATTAATAGAAAGTGCAAATCCATGACATTGGTACCAGAATGGCCTATTTTAACCAGACAATCTCCGTTAAGGCGCTGATTAAAAAAAGAATAGGAATCGTTATTATTTAAATAGTCTTCGGGATTAATATCTAGACTGGTGAAGGTCGCCGATAATCCAGAGGATACGATGGCGCCGGCCGCATCGGTCGGACCATCAATTCCATCTGTTCCGGCGCTCAGCAAAAAAATGCTTCCAGAATTTGTGGCTTGCGTTGCCTGTTTATTAAGTTGTAGGGAAAAGGCCAAAGCTAATTGTTGGTTTCTGCCCCCTTTTCCAGTTCCCGTTACCCGCACAGTCGGCTCGCCTGCAAATTATGTGCCTGAATGTATTAATTTCATAAATCATTGGAATATGCTTGGGTAAGAAAATTGCTGTTATATTTGGCATTAGGATGGTATTCATTAAGCCCGCCAGGCCCAGACAGTGTAAGCTTGCGGAGTTTTCGGTGCCGGAAGAGCCTAAAAGCACGTAAACTCCAACTGGAATATAGCAAAATGATGAAAGCAAATTTACTTGGGGCCCTGTGTATGGCCAATGCACTGTTTGTTTTAATTTATCTACTCTTCTCTTATCAGACTATGAAGGCTTTCACGGCCGGTCAAATCACATTTAGAAATGTTTTTCGGGCTTTGAAGCCGTAGTACATGGGGATTTCTTCCTGACGTTTCGTCTACAACTGCGGTGGATATTATCAAAGGCGCTGAGGCAGTGGGCGAAGTGATCTCCCGTGCTTTCCGACTAAGACTTGTTCAACTACCTGACCTGATGTTTGACGCAGACATAGCCATTTAAGGCTTTTTGTCTTTGCTGGTAGCCTGCAAGAGCCTTGGTGGGTTAGGGGTGTGGGTTTTGGTGGTTGTGGGACTGAGAGCGAACGAAGAAAGAAAAAAAGTAGGGGTACGGAGCGAGAAAAGTAGTGGTTTGTGGCGGTTCGCCTAGTGTTAAATTTGGAAGAGTTAGAGAGTTTAGGTACTTTCCAGGAGGTTTGAGATGTCGGGAATCACCTGCTTAAGGCGGGTGATTCCAGGGAGGTCTGCCATTAAACTTGTCGGGGTTAGGTATCGTTGGTTTGGGATAGTTTGGGTAAACGTGTCTCTAATCAGTGGGTTTGGGTGGTTTAGGACGCGAGTTTTGAAGTTTTCATGGAGCTTTGAGACGAACTGTTGCACGGTTTCGATTTGAAGGTTCGCGTGAATT